GTCACCAGAAAGGGAAAAAAAACACTTTAAGGTGCTAAACACTCTGAAGTTACAGGAAGGAAGTGTGACCTCATCAACACAATTAGCACACACAAACACACACACACAATGGCCAACTCTGCTCTGCTTTGAGATTAAACATGAAGACTTGAGCTTCAGCAAGCTTGATGGATGTGATTTGTGAAATAAATAATTAAATAAAAGGGGAGTGGGTCCGTGTTTTTGGCAGCCAGGTAGTGCTGCGGTGTTATCTGCACTTAGGCTGTGTAATCTGATCAGTAATTGGCTGTGGAGGCTCTTCGTGACTCTGAATGGGATGGAATGAATTGATAGATGGGGGGATATATAGAAGGATGGTCAAATACGGAGAAAACTATAAGTGGACTTGAATCAGTCTCATGTGTATGATCACAAACATGTGATGAACCACCTATAAACATAAGAGTAACATGCTTTACCTTCAGTTTTATACATATTGACATCTAACATGAAACTAATATGGTTTCTTTTTTTCACTAGTGAGTGATCGTTTGTGCTTTCTCTAACGACATCCAAAATTTCCATGTATTTGCCTACAGACAGCCAAGGTCATTGCATGAACATTGGCACCTCCTGGTGGAGAAATTACAAATCGTGACGTTTTTATATTGCTGCAGAAATCTTCTTGTTTAAATGTAATGTCATCCATAGGTTGGTTTTAGACTTTAATAAAGCAATTTGCCTGTTTTTATTTTCACTGTACATCATTATAGAAAACAGAAACAGGACCTTTGTCTCATTTTGAGTTTTTATTTGGCAAAAAAAAAAAAGAAGAAGAGAAAAACAGAAATCTGACATATTATTTTTTTAAATTTCTGTAGATTTCATGAGCCCTGTGATGTGGTGAAAATCTGATGTTGTGATAATTTATTGGCTTGGATTTGATGTCCTTTTCTGTGTTCCTCCTTTACATTAATACATATTTTATTATATTTATTATTATTATTTTTAATAAGAAAGCACATCAACATAACCTTAACCTAATATAATGTACCCTTAATTTAATTAATCTAATTTGGGTGACATTATATTTGGGAGAAGTTTTGGTTTGTTTGTTTGTTGTTGTTGTTGTTTTGTTTTTGTTTTTTTGGGGGGGGGGGGGGCGGGGGGGTTGTTAAATAATGTGATGGCGTTGTGTTTGCTCGACTGTATGCATGAATCAAACTGCATTTAATATTTTAAGACTCATGATCCAAGTCAAACACGTTTTTGCGTTTCATCGCATGATGAATACGTCTGACAAAAAACACATTGATGTTTTTGCTTTCTAAAGTATTACATCCACGTTTCAGATTTGAGTTGTCACAGTGTTATGCCATGCTAAAGTAAAATAAAATAAAAAGTTTTAATAAAAATTGCATTCTTCATGTTTTTTAAGAGGCTCTAAAACAGACATACAAACAATCATTCACACTCACGCTTAACAAGTTAAGCTACTGTAACATGCATGTCTTTGAACTGTGGAAGAGCAGGTTTTCTGGGAATCCATCCTACCTGACAAACTATCCTACCCTTTGTGAACATTAGCTAGAAAAATACTTTGACAGGTAAAATTAAGTGCCAAACCATGCTACCTTTGTGAATGTTACCTACAAGCATACTTTAACGGGTAAAATGAAGTGGCAAACCATCCTGGCTTTAAGAATATAAGCTACAAGCATACTCTGATGGGCAACGTTAAGTGGCAAACCGTCATACCTACTTTAATTTGTGCTGGAATTACTCTGTGACAGCAGAAATGTGCAGAAACTACCTACAGTAGGACGTTTTGCCAAAGTAGGATGGTTTGTCAGAACACCGGAGCACACAGAGAGGACCCACACAGGGAGAACATGAAGCCTGTCCAGGATGTAGCCTGCCCCTCACCCAACATCAGCTGCATTAGGGTCACCACATGGCCCTGAAATGGTAAGAGGGAGGGAGTGGAGGAGGGAGGAAGGATGGATGTCCTCCAGTTTCCATAAGTTACACACACACACACACAGACACAGACACACACGCGCACACACACACACACACACACACACACATATGACTTGCACCACTAATGTAAAGTAATATTGTTGAGTACTGATGATCAGTGTTTGCATCCTAAATATAATGACACAATCAGACAGCAACTGCACATAGAAATACTTTTAAGTACATTAAAAAATTGCAATCAGAAGTATTGTGTGTTAAGGTACTGATCTAGTTTCACTCACTGGTCCTTTCTGACCCAGTGGTCTTGGGCACTTTAGTAATGAGCCCGGTCACCAGATTTTAAATTTAGTCTTCTTGAAAGTCTCAAATGGTATCATTTCCTTTTACTGAATCACTCAATGCAGAAATGAACCATGGTGGCATGGTGGAAATTATGAAGACATAAAAATCACGCTACTTAAACTCCAAATATATCCCTTTTTCTGACTTAATTACTACATTTCCTATAAATAAAGAAGCTTTTACGCTTGTAAGAACTCAAAAGTCTGAGGTTTGCTTAATATATGTTTACCGTTACCACAATTTAAAGTGAGAAATGAAAAAATGACTACAGCACAACTTAAAAAATAAATACACTTGAATTCGTTTTCCAGTCATTGATACATTTCACAGAATAAATCTATTTGTCTTTTTCCTGTTTATCCACCAGGTAGCACCAGGTAACCACGTGATCTGGGTATTAATACTACTAACAACAGCATTTCTGTTTTTGTAGGATGTCCGCTCCTTTATCAACTCACCGAGCAGCCCAGCTTTACTCATAAAGGTTTCACAGTATATTAGGCAGTCAGCTGTACAAACCCACAACATATGAGCTACATGTGTATTAGAGTAGTCTCTCTGTTGACTTACAGGGAAAGCAGGCGAATAGCCCTGATATTTGGGTTTGATATTAATATTAATATTGATATTAAATACCGAGGCAGCACTAATTTGAGTGCTGCCTCGGAAACATTAGAAATAAAACTTTGCCATCAAAAATCTCTGAATGTGGCCTTGAAGTCAGGTTGTTTTTCTTTATGTAGTTTCACCAATAAGTTTCACTTCGTACTGTGCGCTGGGGTAGTTGCATTCACCGTCTGCTCGGAAATGTAACTTCTGCAAATAAATATTTCTACGCGAATTGGAAAATCAGCTGAGACTAAAACTAGTGAAGGACAGAGTTGTGCTTAGATAAGGTATTTGTTATGATGCATTTCATTTAATTGGTTATAGTATTTTAATTTTGACCACCTCTTTAAAACTATTTATTTATTAGTTCAAATGGGCAGTAATACAGAAAAACTGAAACGTCATCTGTGCTGTTGTATCAAATTTGATTGATCACTTCAGACCGCTTTCATGAAGTGTGAATATTCTTACAGTCCGTGAACGCCACGTGATATCACGCTTAAATGCGCCCACTGTGCTCCCTCCGGTCTACAAACGCTCGGATGGAGAGCAGCTTCAGCTGCAAGCTCTAAACTTCAGCGGGCATTGCTGTGTCTCTAAGGTCAGTACACTTTCCTTTGGTTTCCAGCCCGAGGTTTCTGAACTTTAGTCAATAACTAGAGAAAAGCATTTCTCCCTACTTTTTAGGTTTTAAGCGGCTGCTTTGCAATTTGCGAAACGCGTGTTTGCCATTAGGTGGTGATGTCATTTTTAGAAACACAGAACGGGTGAAAATAATCTACATTTATTCACTGACACGAAAACATCTGTATTTAGAGTATTATAAAGTTGTGTAAGTGTGTGGGTGTGAGTGTGGGGGGGGAGTCACACTTAACACCTTTAGTAACTATACGTTTGTATGAACACAAATACACTAAAAATACACAAAAAAAATAAATACTAAACTAAAAATACTTACATGTAGGCATTTACTTGTGGATTAACTACTGTATTATTATTATTATTATTATTATTATTATTATTATTATTATTATTATTATTATTATTATTACTGTGTAAACAGGAAACTGGTCTGGGGTTACCTACTTCTGCATTTAGGTAGTTTGGGCCATAATACTGTACAACAATATAAGGCATAATTTATTTATAGGTATCTTTCAAGACATAAAACTAACAAAATCATTCTATAAATAACAAACTCACAAGTAAAGGTGATAAAGTAAAGGTAAATACACTCACAGCATTTTACTGTCTGGAGCTGATTGAGTGCGAATTCATTTGAGCCAATTTACACAGTAAATCATAAGAACCTGATCAATACTGCTGGATTTTAGGGTCTGAAACTGAGAAACTGGGGGAAAAAATTTATACTTATTCAGCTGCCCATTTTTTAATAGAAATATTCATGCAGTCTGATAGAGTTACATTGAAATTAAACAATTATGGTGTTATAGTTTAGTTTTGTCAGCGCTGAGTTCACAATGCCACAATTTTTTCCATGATATTATGCAGAAAGTTCCCAGAGTTCCTCCTGCACCACTATGTCTGTAATAGGCTGGTATTGGTCTGTAATGTGGGCCAGCACTGTGCAATATTGTGTCTGCATGCTAGCTGGTTTAGCCTCTAATGAAGGCATTAGTGTAGGTTGACCTTTAAAGGTTTTGAACTGTAGTCCCACTGTCAAACTAAGCAGCTGACGTTAGCTGCTGAGGGTCAACTCTTTGTGTGTGCCTTTAAATGAGTGACCGCTTCAGGGATGCTTTGAGTGTCGAAGCAGCAGCTACTGTATGGTGAAAGGCCTTTGCCACACACGGACACCTGTCAGTAACAACAAAGCTCTCCAGCCTCCTCTTTTAGCTGCTTCAGAAAGCAAACACACGCTGTGCTTTGATGTTGCTGGGTACAGAGGGTCAGGTGGGAGGCTCGTTAGACTTTGTCCCCTCTCATGAAAGCTTTCTGAAAGGTCTCCAGCACCGGATCACTCGCACTTGACCTTCTTTGTACCTCCATGAGTGGGTTTGAGGATGGGCAGGGGCTAGGGGGGGGTGGGGGGGGTGGGGAGGTGGTGGCATTTGAGCAACAACTGGTGGTGGCACCTCAGATGCCAGCACACATTGCTGTGTGCGCTATGAGAAAACACAATAAAGTCAAGTCTATTTATTCTGTATTTTGGTTGTTTGGAAGTAGATAAACATCAGCTGCACGAGTGCATCACAGAGATCTGACGGCTTCTGTTCGAAGACAAACACAAAAGTGTGTTTGTGTTATTATATGTGAGGGAAAATAGTTCTAAGCAGTAATCGAAGGGATTGGGGCAGCTTATTTTAACAATGACCCCTGTGTTAGTCCTGTTTAAATCCACTTAGGTTTAGCCATAACGTGAGTGTTTCATGAGCATCACACCACAGAGGTGTAGGAAAAACAAACATCTTCAAGCTTGAAGCCTTGAGGTTGTTAAAATCAGCCTTTTTCTGATTGACCGACAGCATCAGTTCGTTCCAACTCTTTCAACGCTGCCGCTTTTTCCTGCAATTTTCTTCTCAAAAGGAAACACATTCGATGATTTCTGCATCATTGTCTATAAATTTCACAGCACTGGAGTTCAAGGTTTGCTCTTCTGGTTTGAAGAATGGGTTTAAGTTTGTAATGAGCTCCCCGGCTGCTTGTTATCACTCGTCATGCAGATCAGTGTGCTTTAAAAAGAAAAACTACAGGTGGGGGTTCCTTCACTCTTCTTTTATCAGTAAAACAACAACAACTGGCTCGCTGCACCTGCAGTTGCAGAAACAGATAGATTACTGGGTGATTCCGTTGCAGAATTACATTTCCTATTAACATGCTTCTTTTCAGTCTAATACGACCTGAATTTGCATTTTCAGTACAGCACTGCCTGGAAGATTTTGCTGGTAGGTGACTGACTCATATCACCAGGCCAGTAATTGGAAATGTGGCATATGTAAATTTAATCCGATCAAGTCAACTTGGCTCTCATTTCAAATCTAAAGTAACACCTCAAAAAATAACTTTCACAGCTATCAAAACCAGCAAGAGATAAAGTTAAGAAGTACAAAACTCAGCAAAAACCTTATTTACGGTAGGTGTTATTAAAAGCAGGCTTTAGCTTTTAACAAAAATAATACATTTTGTTGATGAATTACAGTTATTTTTATACTTAGTCCCCTATTTTTATGTGTAAAAGAAAAATCTGATTTAAAAGCAGCCTGTGTGGACTTTCATCGGTTCTTTATAAATTAAGCAAGTAAAATATGACCTGTATTTACACCATAACATGGGGTCAATGGAGCCGGTAATGCAAGTGAAACAGGCTGCAAAAGCAAAACCATCCCTACTTCCACCATCAGAGGTGGAGCTTCAACTTTACAAGTAGAAAAAAAAAATTTGATAAAATTAAAAATACATTTTATTGGGATTTTTTTTTTTAATATTTTGTGCTTGGCAACACAAAAAAAGACTAGAAGACCACAGAGACAGCAAGGGTGGATGATCTCAGGAAGAAAACAAGAGGCGACCACTACACTGGAATAAGCCCGATCTTTATCCGAACTTTATGATCTGAAACGATATCCTCTGGAAAGCACAGCGGAAAGAGCGTGATGGCATGAACACGCATACCTTCCAAAGGCATTGGTCACAAGTGTTATTGATGATGACAGGAGACAGGAGCAGCCTGCTGAATTAGTGTCGAACCAACCCAGGAGCTTTTCTGCAGTGTCTACGGCCCCACTCACACGGGCCTGGAGACTGCTCGGTGACCCCCTGACAATCACCTGGTCGCTGGGTAAAAATGCCTTTGCCATTGTGGTTGCTGGTGAAATTGGTCACAAAGAGTGCGCTGCACCAAAAACATTCTTGTAATTGCACCGAGGTTTTTGGTACAGCTGTGTAAACTTCATGAAAACCGATTTCAGCTAGCCAGTTTGCTGGCAGCCTGCAGCAGCCACTCAGAAAATAACCTGTGGTTGGCAGGGAGTCACTGACAACTCTCTAGACCTACTCGACTGTGGATTTAACAGTCAATTTCAAATTGACTGCCATCACCTCGCCAACTGGTCGGGTAATAGCCATGTTTGCCTAGCAACCAGTGGTTGCCAACCGGTTTCTAGACCTGTGTGATTCAGGCCAATATCAGTCATTTGTTCTCAACCCAGCTGGGCTGCATTTCACTGAAGACAAGGCTAAAGGCCAGTAACCGCGTTTCACAGTTGTATTTATACCCGCCGTTACACGCAGGAAGCCGCCCCAGTATTGTCCTCAACTATAGATGTCGCCACTCAGACAATATCCCCAATCAGCGCTGATGTAGGAGGAGAAGAAGTGAAAACCGGAAGCCAAGACTTTGAGTTTGTTTTTTGGACAAACTCTAAAGTTTGCAAACTGTTCCAACACCTCCCTCTGTATACCTGTATGTCTCTGAGCTTCTGTACTGGGACATAATTAAAATGACAGTAAAAACCATCATGAGCGTACACTCACATCTTCAATCCAGCTGCGGTGGCCGTGGTTACGAGAATCGAGAGGTGCACGACCAACGCCACAAAGACCGTGTCCTTCAACAGATGATGTCACGCCAAAATTGGCACGCAAAACCCACGAAAGGGAGAGCATAATTGGGCCATTAGACAGGAAGACCCAGAAAGCACCGCAGAGGAGGAAACTCGTTCTGTGGTGACAGACTAAAGGCCACCATTCCCTGCAGAGTGTTATTGGCAAATATTAAAAATTGCGATTTTATTTATTTTTAATCTGTTCACTTACATTTAAGCACCTGAAAATAAGTGACCTTGTATACGAATGGCTGTAATTTCTCAAAAGTTAAGGGAGTGCTTTTGTTGTATGACAGCTGCTTTCTAAATGATGCATTGCCATGACACCACCATACAGTATCAGCTCATTACAACAAAGGCTTTTCATTTGTACAGTTCTGAGAAAACATCATAAAACCTTTGGAACTGGAATTGGAATATTATCCGATGTTCATTGAAGTTACAGTTATATACAAACTCAATCTGACCACCCCAATAGTAAAAAAAAAAACAGTTTTGACCTTCTTTGTACCTCCATGAGTGGTAGTGATAAACCCATCCAGCAATCTTTCACAGTCGTGCCTGGAAAAACCAAGTGAACCTCTGCTGCTAATTACTTTGACAAAAACAGCAGTGGGAGTTAAAAGTGGAGGTTATACAGGTGCCCCTCCCTATAATTTACTGACTGTCTGTACTTTAAAGGAGTTCGAACCAGTCCTCAGTCACAACAACTTTCACTGGACCTCAGAAGAGAAGGATCACAAAGACAAGAGTAGCACCACAACACCTGGAGACATTTCTGTGGCTAGATAACATCCTATAGTTTTAAAAGACCACCTGGATATTTCACAACACTTCTAGGACACTTTTCTGTGGACAGAAAATCCCTGGAGGAAAAAAACTGAAAGTAAAAGGGACTCTGCAGGCACATAACATAACCTCAGCTCAACTGTGAAGCAAGGCGGAGGGAGCAACATGGTTTCAGCTGCTTTCCTACCTCAGGGCCTGGATGGGTTTCAATCATTAGGAGAGCAATGAATTCAAAAAAAATGTCGTTGGCAGGAGAGGTTTAGTGTTGCTGAACTAAACCAGTCACATAAAAGGGAGTGGTCCAGAAATGTGTCATCATTGTTGCCTAAGCCTCATAATCAGCTACAGGAAACGTCTGATTAAAGGTGTTTCTGGTAAAAAAAAAAAAAAGGTTCTAGACATTACTAAATTCAGACGTTCACGTACTTTTTCCAGCTTGCACTTAAAGTTATTACATTATGTTCACATATTATTCAGTTATTATGTGTTTGTGTGTTTGACTGTTACTGCAACACCAATAACGATCAGTACTCAGACCACATTTTATTTTATGTGGTCTAATAGAAAACTTCTCGCAACTGTAGGTTTAATGCAGATGTTCCAAGATCAGTGTACAGCTTGCTTTGATGCAGTCAGGTTAAAGCTTTACATTTCACATTTATATGATAATCTACATATAATTTCTAACCTAAATCTTCCAAACTCATCGCAAAGAAAACTTTCAGCTCCGCGTCGCTTTCTCTGTCCTCCTCCCGCCTTTTTGAAAAATTTAGAGCAGCAGGGTTTTGGGTCTAATTTTGTTTTTCAATCTCAAATTTGCTACAGCCCCACCTGTCAGGCTTCAAAAACAAAAAATTAAACCGCTCAGAAACAGGAAGTGTGGTTGCACTGATGTAACAGAGCACCGGAAGTCTAACTCCTCCTGCTTGAACGCAGCCTTTTACAACAGGTTCAACCTACACGAAAAACTGCGAGGGAGGGCTGCTGCTCTGCATATTTCAAAAGTTTGAATCTGTGATGTTAGGCTTGTGTGGGAGTGTGTGAACGTAAGTGCTGGCATGCACTTGTGATACTAACATCAGGGCCAAGGATATACAGACGAAGCGCCGAATGTTACTGTGTGTATAGGGACGTAACTACTTATTAAAACATGCTACATTAAATTAAAAAGTGAAGTCTAACCTTCACATCTTTCAGGCTTATTCAAATTGAGAGTCTATAAAGTTTTCATAAACGTATTAAAAACACAAGTATAACTGTGTCCTAGTTTCACATGCTTAGCATTATCAGTATTAAAGTTCTCAGTATGTAAGAGTTCGGGAAAAAATGGCAACTTCAAGTAAAATGAAGATTATTCTCAAAAAGGATGAAAGAAATCGAAATTTATGTAGTAATAGCTCAAAAAAGTAAGTGGTTAGATCATTTCTACCCAATGGTCTATGATTCAGAAACTGCTGTATGTGTGATAGAGAAAACTGTCAGGGATTAACATGTGGAATAACTGCTGGGTTTCTTCACCCTGTGTGATACCACGCTGACTAGTTCAGTGGTTTAAATGGAAATTTAATGGTATAAGTAACGGAATCTATACAGCCACTCAAACTAACGTAATGTGAACAAACCAAGCAAGTTCAAAGAGGCCACAACATTTCCGAGAGTAAAGTTATACCTGGTTTACTAAAAGTGTGCAGTATTTTAGTACCTGGTAAATCAGTTTTGTTTTTTGTTGTTGTTTTGTTTTTTTTAAGAAATGGCTCATGAAATACTGTAATTGTGGCTTCTGAGCTGCCAAATAGTTTGACATTTTGTGCATAACAAATTTATATTTTTGTTTCCCTCCATGATGGTAAGCCTAATGTTTATTCTCCTTTTAGTTCGAACTGTCTGGGGAATATATATCTTTAGCTTCAGCATTATACTTTTATAATGCACAGACTTTGGGGGTGTAGATTTTCCCAGAAACTGGCTGCTTTTTTTATATTTTGCAATGGGAGTATTTTTACAAAAATGCACGATGGGGGGCACTGACGGAGGGGGCTTCACACTGGGAGTACCTGGAGTTTGGAAGAGTGTATTTGCGACAACAGCCACTTACTCAAAAGGCAAGTTAACATGGCTTGGATTAGCATGTGGTATGAGCCAAGGTAGCTGCATGCCATTAAACTGTGTTCGCATAGAGTAGCATTGTATCAAACGTACCTCAAACATGCACTATTAAAAAGCTTTCATTCTTTTGTGTTGACTTTCACGTCTATTTTACTTATAGCCTAGCACTAGAGACGTGAAGGATGCCCACCTTGGTTTAAAACTAAAACTGCATTCATTACAGCTATTCGCTGACACTGGGGGAGGGGCGGGTCAAACAGAGCAACCAAACAGAGAAAGCCCTCACGCTTTCAGCTGGTTTTATGTACAGTTTTTGAATCCTCCACCTGATGATGCCGGTCAGGTGTTAAGTTTGTAGTCCAGTGTGGTATTTAAGGACTGTGCTGAAAGCGATCAGCAGATGTGACCAAAGTACAAAACATTGGACAAAAGTTGCCTCTTAAAACAATGCGATAAGCTGAAAGATGCAAAAATGCCTTACTGTCAAGCTGAATGATAATTATATGATACACGGTTGATTAGAAATCAAACATTTTTTTGATTTGTTGAGTTAAAAGGACCCAACAGGAATGGATGTGCCATCTCTTCCATGTTGTCATTACTGTCCTACATCATACATAGCAGGAATTTATTCTGATCTTCAGTGACCGGACCTGTGAAACTGCATGATAAACCTGTTAAATTACAGAAAAAGTTATGACTGTTCACAGACTGTTATAAAATACAATGTTTTTGTTATTTTAATGCTGGTATTTAATTTTTTATGTCTCAGTTAACTTTTCGGGTGAAGTATGAAAATGTCAATTAAAAGTTCAAAATTTATACTGGTTCACATTTCTAAATCTGTCCAATGTCATCACCGGGCTGATTTCGGCCCCCGGGCTAAGCTTCCGTTAGCTAGTTCGATTTGTTCAACTCAAATTCTAATTCTGCATGAAACACCTCATGCTTTACTTTGGGAGCTAAAAAGTTAAAAAATTCTCTCTGTTAAGATGTTGAACTACGCTGACGCAGTGTACACAAGTTCACATGACGCTACTTAAGCACAGTAAGCTTTACAGTAAAGAATGATGATGAATATTGCAGACTCAGGCGCATGCTGTCATATATTCCACATCTGCGTTTAGTATTTCAGCTCTATTAATAGTCCCTGTCTTCTCTCCACCACTGGGACTGACATTGACACACAAACACACACACACAAACACACACACAGAGCTCTTCAGCAGGTCTCAAATGTCACATCGGCCTTGACCAAGTCGAAGACACTGCAGCGGTCGCAGAGGAAGTGATTTATAGGTGTGTTACTGTGATTATTAGCATGGCTGATCGCACAAAGCAAAGAGATTATTTGTTTACAAGCCCTAAAGTTATGAGAGGTTGGGTTTTTTTTGGGTGCAGTTAGGTTCAGCAGGCTGCTTTTTTTTCATTGCTCGCAGTGCTTTATGTGTGAAACTCTGCAAAGCATGGCAGATGCGTTCCTGTCCTCTCATTAAATGTGTGGTTTGAGACATTTTATCAGGGGGAGAGTGTACGAGAAGAAGTTTTGTTGTTGATTTGATTTTAAAACTTGCTGTAGCAGCCAGCTGGAGCAGATAAAAGTTACATGTTTGCAGGGAAAGAGCTTGTGGTTACGGCGTCACGGGTGATGAAATGTCTGTGTCTCTCTCTCTTCCTTTTTACAGGTTCTTTAAAGTGTCAGGGGTGGAAAGAAAAAACTCCCTGCCTCCTCCCCTCTGCTAGCCCATCTTTCCTGTGGAGGAAGAGGGGCAGTCGGTGCATGCTGCAGTGGAGGAGAGGTGGTTCACACCAGTGCACGAGCTCTCAAAGCTCACAAATCTCATCTATTTATCATCTATTCAAACTAAGAGGACTTCATCCGGTGCGCATCTGTGGAGGCTGTTTGGATATTTGAGCAGCGGTCAGACGGTAAAAGTCTGCAGACATGTCGCCTTTCCTGCGGATCGGATTTTCCCACTTTGAGATTGATCCGGGTCTGGCTTATCATGAGGAGGTGCTGAACCCATACTGTGCTGTTTATATGAAGGAGGCCGTTGACACAGGTTAGTGACTATAAATAATAATCATTTTAATTTGAGTCCATTCAATCAAGTGAAAGTTGAGCATTTAATTGAACAGTGGTTACAGACACTGGAATTGTGGATCCACAAGACCCTGACTGTAACCCACTGAGGTCTAAGTGGTCGCTGGTGAGCCAAATTGGAAGAACAACTTTAAAAAAGGACAAAAATGACATAATCTGATAGCACAGGGTTGGATTTAGGGTTACGGTTAGGATTAAAGTCCTCATCGATGACAGCTTAAACTTCAGAGGGTTAAATTACACAGTGAGGTGGAACATTTTGGCATGTGTAATTATGTTTTGGTTTTGGCGATTGCATCATCTTTGTTTGTTTGGGGGGGATTTCGAAGCCACACAAGCTCAGAATTGATTCAGTAATTTAGCTATTGATCCAGAAAAACACCAAACATTGACTGCTTTTATGTTCACAAATGTGACTTTGTTTCTTTTCTTTGACACGTATGATTGTAAAACTGTTCGCTTTAGATTTCTAACAAACAAACAAACAGTTTGAAGACATTATCTTTGTATGTGGTTGACTTAATCCTTTCTTTTTTAACTTTTTGAAATATTAGATATTTATATATAGGAATCAACTTCAGTAATAATCTCTGTGCATGTTTCCACAAAAACAAGTTTGGAACAGAATCCAATTATTTTCAACTCATTTTAACTTTGAATTTTGCAGAAATACCATAAAGACAGCTTGTCAAATGCTAAAAATGTTAATTTCATTAAAAAGCTATCCTCATTTTGCTTCAGCTACCGTGGGAACATGGGCTTGGTTACCATTGTGCAATGTTGCTCACCACTTTTAACAGCAACACTCTGAGTGTAAGTGTTTGAGGCCTAGGGAGAGCAGTCGTTGCAGTGCCGACAGTGCTTGGTGTAGGTTTTAAGATGATCAGCAGCCTCGCTTTGGCTATTTTTTTAGTTTCAAAAACTGGTGAAATGTTTTTGAGGTGTGAGCTGCGGGCCCACCAGCTTACACCGGGGCTCTTTTACATGCTGCTGTGCACACTGATGCAAAATGTGATTTGGCACCATCTTACTGAATCTCCTCGGGAAACAAATGGTGTCACGATGGCAGCGTGTGTTGATGGTTCATCATTAGCGCTGCCTTCACAAATGTTAAGAACTAAATGTTACCCAGGCCGCAAGCAACTATGCTCCTCTTTATCCTCACTGACACGGACTTTTTAACTGAACAAGCCTTCAGCTCTGAAGAAACAGATATCTGTGATTTTCATGAATTCAAATTTCTAATCAGTCTGATGATAAGAAAGGTTTTTCCAGTCGCCTCAGTCCATCCTTAACGAGCTCGTGTCCAGAGAAAGTGATCTGGAATTTCAGGATCTTGTTGTAGTTTAATTTGTTTGTGTGGCAGAGTTAAAAATAAAGAGCTCCTGAGCCCAAACAGTCATTTCCACTACATGGTAATGCTGTTTATATATTTACCATATATAATGAAATTCTCAGTTTTTTTAAACATTCACTTTTTTCCTTCTTAAAGACTCTTAAATACCTCTCTGGTATCTTTTTTCGTAAAAGAGAACACACAACTCCCATCCTCGCTTCACTCCATTGGCTGCCTGTATATCTTAGAGTTCATTTTAAAATTCTCATGTTTGTTTTTAAATGTTTAAACGGTCTTGCCCCAACTTACCTCTCTGAGCTTCTGCATCTTTACTCACCCCCCAGGTCTCTCAGGTCAGCTGACAAGCTGCTCCTGGAGGTACCCAGGTCCAAGAGAAAGCTCAGAGGGGACAGGGCCTTCTCTATTGCTGCTCCTAATCTCTGGAACAATCTGCCCCTGCGCATTAGAGAGGCCCCTTCACTGCCCACTTTTAAAACAAGTCTTAAAATCCATTTTTACTCCTTGACATATGACACAGTATGACCCTGATTTTATTGTTTTAAATCTAATGTGCTCATTTTATTGTTTTACATGTAATTCTAATGATCATTTTATACTATTTTATTTTTTGCTATTTGTGCTGATTTTATTATTTTAAATGTCATTTTAATTATCATCTTATTTTTAAAATTTTTTATCTTTATTTTATTTTTTTTAACTTATTCAATGTATCATTTCTGGCATGTCAAGTGTACAACACTGTGTGTTCATCTGGGAGTTGTTCTGAAAGCGCTATTTAAATAAATTGCCTGCTTATATGCAACTAAATCCTAACCTGATGAGGAAAGTCAAGCGTTACGTGACTTTTCTGGTCTGTATGTTGCTCACATTCAAATCGTAAGGATGACATTTCTTTTTATATGTCGTCTTTGTATTATTCTAGCTCACATATGGGTCATTCCATCTCACATTAGCATAGACTGACATTTTTGAATGCATCTGTCCCAAATTACAGATCTTGGTTCATTTGGATGGGAACAAAAATCAGGGAAAATATTTGTTTGTTTGTTTTTAAATTCATGTTCACACATGTTAATCGAAGGGGTAAAAGTGGGTTGACAAACCTTTTTCTTTTTAATATATGTTGTGCAACATATTTGCAGTCATTAAACATCTGCAGACTTTTTTAAATGCAAATCTGAGACGGTCATGTTGAAGGCCCACGTTGATTTGCGATGGACTGACCCCTTTAGAATTGAAACATCTTGTAGATCACTCATTCTCACTAAGTTTATTATTAAATATTATTTAATATTTCACAGGATCGCAGCCCTTCTGTAGACAGGGTTGCCATAAAAACCCACACTATGCTCACTGGGTTTTTACCAGAAAAAAGAAAGAAAGAAAGGTTTTCCATGCAGCACAGGAAGTGATGCTCAGGAAGTTTTCAGTGAAGCAACAACAGTGTGTGTTGGGAACAGAAAATGTCGACTGTGACTGTGGTAGTAGGTTACAGCGTAGAACGCTTCACTGATTATCTGTAACTGTTTTCATAGTGAATCAGCTATGTTTACTTTCACTTTGAAGGACGCTGACATACAGTTCCAGCAAGTCTTTCCGGCTACGTCTGCAGAATCTGAGGTATTGGATGGCTCATATAGCAGGAATGTTCAAGGACTCAACAACATTTTTAAATAATAGAAATGTTAATGGGCTTATACTGTAAGCCCAGTATGCCCTTTAAGCTCTCTTTTGGGTTGTTGATTCACATCCAGTGTCACAACTGTGGGAAACTTCCCAGCGTGATATAGCCTCACAGCAGAAATCTTAGTTCTGCATCTGGCTAAGTTTAACCACTGCTGAGTATGAGTGCAGGATAAAGTTAAACACAGTGTGTGACTGAGAGGAAAGAGGAGGGTCCTTATGTTTCTTTTCCTCTTCAATGTAACCGCAACGCTCGTCCTACAGGGTAGCAGAGCGACACTCTGTGTGTGTGTTTCACTTACACTTTCACCGGGGAACTAAATGTAATTTAGTTTCGTTTCACTTTACTTTGGATTAAAAGTATATATTTTTAATGCATGAGTCATAACATTGTGAAGAAGCAAAGAGTGGACGCGTCATTGATCTTATGATGTGCTTAAACTGAAATACTCACATGAAGTGAAGACATCCACTACTTCATCACAAAGAGTACCCTTAAAAAGGGAAAAGCCGTTTATTACGTTAAACAGTGTTCCAGTGTTTATGAGGAGCATATGCTCGCTGGCAGCGTGAAATGAAGAGCTGATTAGAAAAAATAAAAAAACAGTAGATAGCTCCCATCAGGCCCTTTTTGGCTCACTGTGACTTATTTCATCTTCAAATAACAGTGACTGAAGTCGCCTTTAGTCGAGTGTGTTCAGGCTCTCTTTAGGTTTCTCCGTTTTCGACTCTGCCAAGCACAGCAAGTCGTCCACAAGTGCAACACTTTAAAGCCGCATGATTTTCTGTTCTTCCAGTGCTGTTTTTTCAAAAGTAGCGTTGGCATGATGGTATGCGTGGCTGTGCCAAATAACTCATGTCTGTTCCTGTATAATGAAGTTTATAAGGCTTCCAATGATTCCACTTTTAGATTTCTTGTGTAATTTAGTCTGGAAAAGTTAAAATATATTATCAGTAGCATTTATACTTATACAGACACAGATATAAAATGTGTGTCTGCACTAAGTAAAATCCTTAATTTCAAAATAAGGCCAGCATGTTCTGTACATGTAAAAACAATATGAGAAATCCAGTCATGTGTCTCTCCGCACTCCGCACCGAAGCAGAACGGTAAATACCATAGACTGTATATGAAAGATGGTTGGCAGAGCATTTGAACTGCGCTTACTTCTGCTCCAAAACCAGCATGGTTCACCACACTTTTCAGATTGGAGGATGGTGTCCCATGCTCTCCAGTCTAATTAACAAGGCACATATATAGACTGTACAGTTGTATCAGTATACTGCAGAGATGTGCATACATGCTGATTAGTGCTAAGTCACATCAATAAAAAAAAACAAAAAAACTTAATCATTAGGTGGTTGCCAGGACAAGACTATCAGAAAAATCCTTTGGCTCTCTTGATTTAAGCCCTTATTTAATTCTTATATGAACTATGTATGGTCTCAATCGCTGCTTTTAAGTCTTGCTGAACACAACAAGGGTAGGTCCTAAGATCACTGGAAGCAAGATGCAGTGGCTACGTCCATTTTTTTATATACAGTCTGTGATTATGGTAATCGAGGAGAATTTCTCATGTCACTGATGTGTTTTCAAAAGGCCTGGACAACAATAGGACTCTGTGGCATAGATATCAGTTCTTGGAAGCACAGACAGTACTGGTTAGTTAAATCAGCTCATTGTTGGTTTTGCTTTTCACAAACTACGCTGACAGCGAGACATGTATTCATGAAAACTCAACAGGTCGTTCAAACAGCGAATCATTTTTAGTGAATTCCACTTTAGAATTTTATTCAAATGAGGCAAACCTGATGAGCCAGGGATCTGAAGCTCAAACACAGCAGACAGATTTGCTTTATTGGATGGATTTCTTTCTCATTGTCCCATTCAGTGTTTCTGTGCGTTTTTACCTACAGTATATACAGAGAGGGAAATGTAAGCCCCTTCAAAAGAGCGAAGACATGAGAGCACAAACTCTAAATAGCACTTTGTGCTTTTTCAAAGAACACAGACTGACAACTGCATGGAGCCAAAACATCACCATGCTCTTTGCTTAATGCTGCAGGGAAACCTTTAAAATAAAAAAGACACCGTCTGATAAATCCTGTGCGTCTGGGGAGACAAACACACATTTTCCTCTCTTTGTGCTTTAATCAGCTCTGACAGCAGCTGGCAAAGGCGATGGACAGAAAGGCAATGAGCCGATGAGATGGAGAAGGCAGCGGCTCACTTTGGGAGTAAAAAGCTTAGAGGGCTTTATTGTTGAAGCAGCAGGATAGCATGTGGCTGTTATGTAAGTGGATATATGAGATGTTATTGCAGAGAAAAATCAGCAGATGTGAATTACAAAGGCTTTCTTTCCCTCCCAGCCATATGATGCAATTGAAAATCTGTCAACATTCAGAGTGAATGGTAGATGGTCTGTATTTGTATAGCGCTTTACTTGGTCCTAAGGACCCCAAAGCGCTTCACACTACATTCAGTCATTCACCCATTCACACACACATTCACACACTGGTGATGGCAAGCTACAGTGTAGCCACAGCCGCCCTGGGGCGCACTGACAGAGGCGAAGCTGCCGGACACTGGCGCCACCGGGCCCTCTGAATGATGATATAATCTGCTTGCTGGGTGGTCAAATATTCAAACATAGTGCAATGTCTAACAGCACTAACAAGCACATGGGATCAAAGACGGTCATGAATCTGGCTTTAAAGAGCAGCTTGATACATAAACAAATAAATAACACATATTTTCTGTTTTTTCACTGTCTACTGTAGAAACTTGTGATTTTTCGCAGTGGGCCCAAAGTTTTTAAAAAAAAGAATTTCTGTCAATTAACTAGAATTTTACATTTTATAATTAAAGGGCAGAATGTGCAATGAGCTTTTGATGAGTTTTTTTCTGTAATGTTAGACATTTATTTTTTTCCAATTCAAGCTCAAAGCACCTCTTTTTTCAATCATGTAGAAAAACTGAGATGTAATGTTTAAATTGCACTTTTTCTTATAATTAAATATCTCGGGAATAAAATATGTAGCTAAATCTCTCTACACTGACAAATACAAGAGTTTTAATTGTCCAGACCACTTAAGATTAACTTATTAATTTTCTTTTTCAGTGTCTGTAATGGTTAAAACAGTCAAAAACAGCAGTGTTTTCTTTTCTTTGTGGTATTTTCAAATTTGTTATGGGACAAAATCTCCAGAGCTTGTGATTTTGTGATGACATTTTCTCTAGTGGTCGAAGTGTAGGTAGCAAAAGACAGGTTAACCTGTCCCTGACACACAATGTCATCATTCCCAGCAGATGTTCTAAAGTGCTGCAGGCATGACTTTTATTTTGTAGGTCAAACTGGAAGTTAGCATCACCCCACTTCCTTGGCTAAAAGCTAATGAGATTTGAGCAAGATAGCCTCGATGAACAGGTGTCTCTTTTATGTTTTTGAAGCATGAATGCAATTGCAAGAAGCAAAACACTAACAGTGGGCTGTAAACAAAAACACCACCCCTGCAAAGTTCCCATGTTCACCTACGTAACAGTAAATTTTCCCAACAACTTCATCAGAACCATTTAGCCACTTGTTAGCAACCACATTTTGTGGGACTTCACCAACTAGCTTCAAAGATAATGAATGGGGTACTTCATAAGAGGCTGCAGAACAAATCATGTAAAACATGTAATAACCAAAGACTGACTTCTAGCTAAAAAAAAATTAAAAAAAATTCATTGTGATGTTGTAAGTAATTCATAGCAAATAATGCTAACTCAGTTCTGGATGTTTAGGAGTTATGCTTGTGGTACTCTTTTGGATAAAAGCCAGACTTTGGAAAACTGTATGCCACACAATATTTTAAAAGTAAATGTTGATCAAATGTCACATCATGAGCAAATGAATAAAAATACAGTCTGTCACCTGGCAGACATCTACCTAATGCTTTCCAACTTTTTTATCAGAAACATGCAGCCACTTATTCCAATTGAAAATGTAGGTGTTTGCAAAATCTACAAATAACAAATTTTTCATTTTGAAAATGAAGCTGAGCAATACACCAACAGCTGAGCGCTGTTTGCTTTTTATCTGCTCAAACAAGAGTAAATGTAGTCAGTATTTCTGGAAGCAGGACAGTGCGTGGAGGATAGAGTTGAAATATCCTTAGGAGTGTGTGTAGAAGTGTGCTTCATGTATCTGTTTCTTTAATAGTTTCTTGACAACACTGGAGCTCTGTGGTGTGGACTATGAAGTGATTTCTGCTGTCAAAAAGACTTCTGTGCAATGAAATAAGAGTCAATTTTATCTCATGTCCTACCTATAAAGAAGTGGCCTTTATTTCTTTTCTTTTTTTTTTGTTACAGAGAAGGGTCAAGTGTACAAGCAGAAGAAGCCCACCATGTATCCGCCCTGGAGCACCACATTCGATGCCCACGTCCACCGCGGGCGCATCATGCATGTGATGGTAAAAGACCGGACAGCCGAGCTCAAGTCTGAGGCCACGGTAGCTCTGGACTCGCTGGCAACGCGGTGCAAAAAGGAGAACGGCAAGCTGGAGATTTGGGTTAGTGCATCAGGATGGATTGATGCGTGCGCTTGTTTGAAGTGACAGACCAGCTGTTTAGTTACGCAAGCAAAAAGAAATCCAGATGTGCAGATGCGTTTAAAGGGGTAATCCTCCTTTAAATTATTAAAAAATAAGAGGTTTTTTTGTAATAAGCATCATCATATGCACTGAAATCAAAACACTAACGGCTTTTAGATCATAGCAAAAGAAGCCTCGGTTAAATTAATTACTTTAATGATGGCTCTAATCCACGTCCTAGTAAGCAAAGTCAATGAGCCAGTGCACACAACACCATCAACAAGCAACATCTGTGCTTCTCCTGCTGTGACCGTTTCAACGTACTGAGAACAAAGTTGTCCCATATTTTCATGGTAACTCATTTAGATTATTTTATATCATGTCTACACAGAAAGCCAAACAAGAAAATCCTTTTATTTCTGTTTTATTACAACCGTTATTTTCTTATGATATGAAACACAGATCGTCTTACAATCAACACCCAGCACAACTTCAGTGTTTTTAACTAATTACCACAGATATTATTATATTTTTATTAACCTTTCTGG